ATCAGTTGTGGGCTGGCTTCCTTTCAGAGGGTGCCACCTGGCTCCAGAGAAGGAGAGATAGAAAGCATGCAGCATGGAAAACTAAAAGACCATGAAGGAACACAAGGACTGACTCGAACTTAGATTTTGACTTCAGTAAGCAAGGCATGTAATTACCTTCTCTCAATTAAAAAATAATCATTTAGATAAATTAGATTATCTGGATGCCAATTAAATTTATTAAAATAGTAGCTCCAAATTTACTTAACACATTGATGAGAGATCTTGTGCTCCAATTTCAACATTCACCTAATCCAAAAGGCAGAAATGGTATTATACAGCTTTCCTCTATCTTTGTTACAGACCCTTTAGAACAGTTTGCTTTTTCAGATGCACACTTCAACTGACAACATTTTTTTCTATATTTGGCAAATTCCTTTTATCTGATGAACTTCAGTTTATCAACCATATCATGGAAAAGTTGGGAGGTAACACAGCATTCCCAGCATTGACATACAACAAATATACCTAAAATAAAGAAGGATGTGTTTTTCTGATTCCATGTTTTTTATTTTTTAATCAGTAAAAAGCTGGTGTAAAGTATGATTTTTCTTAACATTGCAATTCTCACATTTTTAAAATGCTTACGCAGTCACTCTTTTGGACTTAACCACTTCGCCTGACTGTAACCCTTATCTGTACTTCCTGAAACTTAGAGTACAAATGCTGTGGCTTATTATTTTATACTCATGAACATCTGAAAGCAGAAGCCACAACTAGGAAGTCAGATGATATCTGAAAGACACATGAAATATAGAAAGGAAGCTTTAGCATAATTCTAAAAAGCTGTACTTGATGAAACATAATAGTAATACACTGCAGTGATCATAACAAATTTATACAATGTAACAGCAGATAAACAAGCTTTATGTATTCAAAAAATCAGGATTTATCCTATGATGCTACTCCTACTCGTTTATACGTTTACCAAAGGTGAATTTTGTGATTTACAAGTGTAGCAGCTAACAACCCCGACCAGCTCAGCCATTATTAATAGGTTATTTGCCTGAGTATTAAAACACCAAATAATCAATAAAATAATTCCTGTCTTATTTAATAACCATTAAATCTATGTCCTTTCCAGCTCTCTATTGCAAGAGAAAAAACAACTTAAAACTGCCACTTTCAATTCAAACAGCAAACATTGCAAATGTGATGACACACAATGTAAGCTACAATATGATGTCAATGTATGGAGTAAGATTTTCCAAACTTTCTAAAGCAAAAAGCTAGGCATAAACAGAACTGACAAAAAGCAGCAAAGCTGACAAACCATGTACAAAATTAAGAGATTCCCAAAATGAGGATGCAAACCCAAATTCCACCCTCTTTGGAATATGCACTATGTAATTGTATAATTACTTTCACAGTGCTTTTATCCAGAAATGCCCAGCCTATTTATTAGAGAGGATGGAGTGCTCTGAGTATGATTCAGCACTCTGTCAAAGGGGCTCATCTTCATGACTCTTATCAGGCTCATTGCTATAATTGTGTGGCTCCCATTTAATAAATAGGCAATTTCAAGGAACAAATGCCTCATGATTAATGCACTTTAACACTGCTCTGGATTTAACTTCTGCTTCTGGCAAAGAGTGCTTATGTAATATCCAACAATTCACAAACTTTTCACAGGTTGCCACTACTTACAAGATAACTGGTTTTTCATTAAGACTTAATTATGGTAATTTAGTTTTACGCTTAAGCGTAATTTCTAAATGTCTCAGCTCCTCATGTTGAAATAAATCACTTACTGAGTCACAGTATGAAAAAAATAGTTGTGAGATTCTTAAGATCAAGTAATGACAATTGCAAGACAGCTACCTGTCTTCAGACCAAGATTTGAATGCCATATTGAAAAATGCCAAATAAGTGAGAACCATTAAGTACTTATTCATTAAGTATTTTCTTTCTAGCTCATACTAAGAGGGTTGAAAGTGGACTACAGTATTTTGCAGGCAGTATTGTACAGCATACCTAAAGAACAGATTAACAGTATACACATGATTTTTCTATTTCCCCCTCAACAGCTGACAGCATGTGTTTGTCTTAATAGAGAGCTACAGAAAGCTCTCACTGTATGCAATTAGTGCTGTTACTCCACACTCACCCTGTCAACAACCTAAAGGAATTATCTGGTCCAAGCAATAACTGTGCCCTCAGCAGAAAATAAGAGCAGCCATATTAGAAATCCTAACAAAATACCCTTTTTGCTCAAGGTGCAAGCCCACAACATCAACAACATTTTAAAGAGCCAACTAGTATGCTCCAAAGATCAGTAATTCTGTCAAACCCATACATGGCGACAGAAATCAGACACTGAACTGCAGCAAAGTTATGAGTACAGAGAGTTGTCTCTACGAACTGCTATGGCACACATCTGAGTGTTGTAAGCAGGTTAGTAAGAAACCCAGATATGAAGAAGAAAGTTTGAAATTACATGTGGTTAAAGCACCTGGCATTTTCTCTCAAGTGTAGAAAGCAGCAATGCAAAGGAAGCTGGTTAGTATAGAACAAACAACAATCTGAAATCCAAAGCAGAATGATATGAAGTACAGTTCACTCACGCAGATTAAAAACAGCATTAAGCCCTAAATTATTGGGAATTTATTTTTATTATCATCAGGGAAACACACAGGAATTTAAAAATTCCCTATTATTTCAGACTCCTTACACCGAACTGAACTTTGCACTTAAACTTGCAGCAGAAAATAGGAAAGGATTACAGTAATGGTCACAAATATGATTTCATGCCACAAGCTGAAAGCAATCAAAGCCTTCCATCCAGTGAAGCCGTCCCACAAGAAAAAAAATTATAATCCCAAACACAAAAATAAAAGCCATTTTAGAAGGACTCTTGCTGGGTTTTAAGAATCCTTACCAGAACTTCCTATGTACTGTATGAGACCATACACATAGCTCTTAAAATGAGAGATGACTATCTTCTCTCAAACCCTGGAAACAAAGCTATGTTGTTTGATTCACTGATTCATTACTGTGAAAAAGTTTCAAAAATAAACCTTTGTCAAGAAATGCTACATTTACATGACACAAATGTTAAACAGCAGAAACTTTCTGCATATTTTCATGCTCCAAATTTTAAATCCCTTAATCTCTAATAGAATGGTGAATACTCAACAATTCCAAGACTATCTCTACTGTAGAATAAAGCTCTCCACTAGGTTTTTGAAATCCATTTTCACAAGGCAAATATAGCACCAATATTATTAGGCCAGGACTAAGTGGACAGTTTTATCTTAGAATAGGAGCATATATGCAGTTTACTTCCTACTGGAATGCATTTAGGCTTTCTTCTCTTACTGCTTTGCTTCTCCTCCCCATGAGCAGGCAAAAAAGACTCTTTTCCTAGAGCTACTTCCCACACACTGCAAAAAAAACTCTTCCTTGTGAAGTGATGACCTCATGCTCCCAGCCCATCTCCTTGTATGGAGCAATTCCGGACTTGCTGCCAGCTCTCTGCCTTCAGCCTGACATGGCAAACGTATCTTCCTTCACCCTGCTGCTTCCCAACTCAGGGAACACCAAGGACAGGCAGCAAGTGGGAGGTCAGACCGGGCAGGGAGAGGGGATTTCCCATGGACAAAGAACAGGCCACCAGATGCCTGACCCGCTCTCCACGGCAGGAAGAACGACACTGAACTCTGAACATTTTAAGTATGGAAATACATCCCACGTTACCTAAATGCAGTGCACCTCCTGTAGCCAAACCTTTCTTCCCTTTTTTGCTCTTAGTTAAATACCTCTAATCTAGTGAAGCAAATGTCACTTCTCTCTTAACTAAGGCCCATCTCACCTTCGCATCACTAAAGTTCTTTGATACCGAAATTGGCCTGACATCCTGTGTACACACTGATACATTTTTTTATCTTTTTTGCTAGTTAATCTTTAAGCTCTATCAAACAACTCCAGAGGAACTGAAAATTTCTATTCTCTACTCTGTCCATTGTCTTCTCTAGCCTGTCTTGCTTTCAAGTGTCAGAATTATTTCTACATCATCACTTTATACACTGGCAATCCAAATACCAACTGACAAAGAACAAAGGACTCAGTTGTGACTTGAAGTTACAGTTGTAGAAAATCAGGAAATCTGATGGATAACTGAGCTTTTGCTCAGCTAGTAAGTGACATTGTACATACAAGACTTAATCTGCTCCCTCAAAGAAATACCTCCAAAGCCCAAGTTTACTAGGGTTAACATTCCACACATGTATATTTTAAAGTTGTAACTGTACTGACAATTTCTGTCAACATATTACAAGGAATTTATAAGATGAGGGAACATACACTGGTCTCACCAACAATAATCATTAACTCAACCTACAATGTGTCCATCATTTGCAATTTGCTTTGACTGTGAGCAGATGATGTGTGACTGTCCTAACCCCCTGAGATTCTCAAAGACTACCACTTACATAAAATAAACTGCAGAAGCAATTTCCTTGTTAGGTATTATTAGCAAGTAAAATTAACTTATTTTAATAAAGTTATTTTAATACCAAATAAGATTTTTGGCCAGTTTCAGTTTGTCCAGCTTCATGCATCACCCATTTTTTTTCACACTGCAACTTCCTCAAGCATCTGCAGTACAACAGAGCAAACCACCAAAGCCAGTTTGAGCAGGTCTGTTTCAAAGCAGGGAAAAGTTATTTCACCTACATGAAAAGCAGTGATGCTCTCCTGCAAAGAGAAAATGAGCTGGCTTGTTTTAAAGGTCTTACAAAACCCCCGGTGTTCACACAGGATGTGTCATTTCAGTCATGTAAAGTCCAACCAAAGAGAAACATACTCCAACAAGAAAAGGGATGTTTAATGCCCTTCTGTGTAATCCACTCGAACACCAAACATGAGTATTCAGTACACGTGCAAATACCAAGATCTCAAACACACAATGCACTAGAACGAACACGAAAAGCGCCAGGGCAGCGACAATGACAAGGCCTCACCATGCAGGCTCCAACACTAACGCACAAGTTCACGCAGGCAGCCGCTGTGCTGTACAGAACTGTCAGGCGGCACCAAAGAGGAAGAGAACTCAAAACCCCAAACCGACTCCCCGGGGCTGTTGCATTTATTGGGAAGCAGGGATGGCCACACATCGTAGCTCCTGGCGGTGCCCGGCGCGTCCCCCCGTTACTCCCAGCACTTCCAGCCCGGCCGGAGCAGGGGAGGGGAACGGAAACGCCCGGCACCGCCGGACAGGGGCCGGACCGGGGCCGGACCGGGGCCAGACCGGGGCCGAGCCCGCCCTCTCCCTCCCCCTGCCCGGACCTCGGCGGCGGACCAGGGGAAGGGGCGGGATCCGCGCCCGCCGCGCTGCCCCTGCCCCGCCGGGGCGGAGTCGCCGCCGGGCGAGCGGCGCCTCTGACACCTCCCCGCGGGACGCCACCTGAACGCGACCGGATGCGGCCGCCGCCGCCCCGGCGCAGCGAAACGCGAGTGGCGCTGGTGCCCGTCTCGCCTGCCCCGCCCGCAGGTAGAGCCGGCGCGGGGCCCGCCAGCGTCCCCGTGCCGGCCGGGGGTCCGGGGGGTCCCTGGCCGGGACGGGGCGGGCGCGGCGCCGCAACTTTCCCCGCCCCACCCCGCGCCGCGACATCCTTGGGGACACCCGGTGAGACAGCCATGGGGACACCCCTGGGGACACCCCCGAGGGTCCCTGCTGCCCGCGCCGCCGGCAGGGAGGGAGGCGTTCGAAGCTCAGCGGTGCAAGATGAGGAGAGTAACTCCTGCGCAGCGCGGCTGCCCGGACAGGTGGACGAGGAGTCCCTGTGATTTGATGCTTCAGCAGCTCAGCCGAAGGCAGCAAGCAGTGAAAAAAGAAAGGGGGTGAAAAAGAGAATTGGGAGTAGAAGGAAAAAAAGGGGGAAATAAAAGGGGAAAAAATTGAAAAGGGGGAGGGGGAAGAAAAAGAACACAGAAGGGAAAAGAAGGGTGGGTAATGGAAATAAAAAAAAAGGCAAAAATAAGAGAAAAAATGGCAGGAAAAAAGAAAGGAAAAAAGTGGCAGGAAAAAGAAGGGAATAAAAGAAAAAAGGAGGAAAGAAAAACTAGAAGGAAAAATGAAGAGCAAAAAGAACAGAAAGAAAAAGGAAGGTGGGGGGAAAAAAAGAAAAGCAAAAAAAAGAGGGAGAAAAAAAAATCCAGTTAAAAAAAGGGGGAAAAACCCTTGATAGGTTTCAGGGAAACCCATGAATATTAAAGATTTTTATATAGTCTTTTATAATAGATTATGCTCAAAGCAAATGAAAAAAATCAATTTAATGAAGTAGCAATAACAAAATCTGATTGCACAGTCTATTTCACAGATACTGAAGACCCCCTTAACAGTTTAGATTAAACTTACAGAGAAGTATCCTTTTTTTTTTTTTCTTTTTCTTTTTTTTTTTTTTTTTTTTCTGAGAGGTCGGTAGAGATTGGTATTCAGGACCCTAAAAACTGAGATGTGAACAGAGCAGTCATATTTCAGTTCATGGCTTCTTTTTAGACCAAATTGTTTAAAGAACACTAATGAAACTTTGGTGTGTGCAGTTTTCTGTCTCTGTTTAAGCCATTCACAAGTTTTCTTCCCAAACAGCTCATAAAAATATTTTCCTTTATTTACCTGTTTATCAAATAAGAAAAAATTACATTCCTTTGTATGTCATCTCTATGCACCTTGAGGCAAATTGAGACCTATTTGCAATAATGAACAAATTTGCATGGTACTGAAGGAAAAAAAAAAGCTATTTAGTTGTAGAAAATGGGGGTTTAAGATGTAATTTACATTTGTAGATTTCCAGCTGTGTTAGATGTGGGATAAATATCTTACTTGCTAATACTGAATTTGCTGTAAGTCATCAGTTAGAGTGTTTTATGACAAATGCTGGTGCAAACAACATGAGCCAGTCTTGGTTCAGCTATATTCAAACACAGACTATTTTATTGGGCAGGTATCTTATCAGTCTTATGTGCCTGCGGATGTTGCATGATTTTTATCTACAGTTCAGTAGTTTACCTGGTCTTGAGACCCTTCAGCTTTGTGAAAACTGGTAGGCAGTGGTATGAAGGTAAAAAAACCTATCCTCATTTGCTTTCTGATTAGAAATTTTTAAACTTTATCGAAGAATCTATTTGATTTTTGAGGAAGAAAGGATTCTGTGTGCTTTTTTATGTAACAGGGTTGGCTCTTTTCCCCTGAAGCTTTCATATATTTTTAAAAGAAGGATGAAAAATATATGTTCCTGTACTGTAGTCACTGCAGTGTAGTGTAGGCATATGCAAAATATTTTGAAAATCAATTTAATAATTATATATATAAAGTGCAGTTATTAATTGAATACAAAAAGCTTTAGAAGTTTATCACCACTTGCAATTAAAATCCAATTAGCAAGTTTATTTGTAAAAGGATCCTTGCTCTCCCAGTCTTCCAGTTCTGTACATATTCATTCACTCAGCCCAGTACATATTTCCTTTGCCCTTTTCCTCTGAAGCCTGACCCAGGGCCAACTGCCTAAGTACAAAATTGGAGAGGCTGCTTCCTGCAAGTATCCAGAAGAGACAAAAAGGATCAGGGAAGTGGATGTGTTCTTGCCTCAACACATCCTGTCTGTACTTTCTTCCAGCCTCTCCCCTTTGCTCCTGTAGCAGGATGCTCTGCCTAAGTGGGGGAACAGCTCAAACTTGACCCTATTTGCAAAAATTATCTGTAGTGGATGGGGAAGGGGCCTCATACTGTGTTTTGTGTTGAAGAATCAGCCTGAATCATCAGTCCCAAAGTGAAACATTCTGAGGATGTGAAGAACATTTCCTGACACAAACTGGCACTGGTGAGGATGTGCCAGGTGAAGTTGCTATTAGAGGCACCATGAAGTCATAGCACTGATAACTTATTTCAAGCTGCTGAGGTGATGCTGCAGGCCCAGATACATCTGACTGTGAATCACGTTGTATCACAAAAGCCCAGCCCCTCTTTTTAATTGCAGGGAATTCTAACACACCACATCTCAGAGCAACTGTGGATATTCCACCCTTGAATGGGGATGCCCCTCAAGGCCACTCCTCAAGACTGAGCAGAAGAGATTTGCCCTCAGTTGTTGGTATGGGTAACATCAATCTCTGCTTAATAATTGTTTTGCTGGCTTTAATATTATTCCTTCAGTATTCAATAAATTGTGCATTATACTAGTAGTTATAACTATTTTCACTGTGTAGTAACAAATTCTGATTAAGATCCCTTAGTCTAAGCATTTTTATCATCAATTAAAATGAATAATTCTTCTATATTGGCTTGCTATCCTTAACTCTGCAGGATAAAGCTGTACTAAGGTTCAATTGTGCCTATAAAAATCTTCAGACATAAACTTTTGACCAAGTCTGGGACTGGGTTTGGATCCAGCCACACCTAGTTTCCTCTCTGAGAAGAACATTCAAAAGCGAGAACCCTTTTGAACCTCATGATGCATCAGGAGGGTTTCCCTCATAAACCGTGTTGAAACTTTCCATTCTGTCCTCAGCAGCTCCTAATGTTAACTCCTGCACATTATATCTTTATGCTAGACCAGAGGTGATCAGCATCAGTACTTAAAACCTGCTGGTTTGGACAACTGTGGCATTGAAGCATTATTTCAGACCTTACTGCAAAACTGCCTCCCAAGAAACTTGGCAGAACCTGGACACATGCCAGGTTCCATGGTGCAGCTCCTCAACAACTACAAGGCAGATTACTTCATGGCCCAACCGCCTACAACAATAGCAGCTGTCTGGTAAAAATACCTGAAGAAATGAGTTCAGTATCTTGGGTCATTCTTTACCTGTCACATTACTCATTTTCTGTAAGCTCATGCTTTAGTTTCTTCTGGCTTTCCAGCTCCTAGAGAATTGTCAATCTATCATAATCTATCCACCCACCATTGTGACCCTAGAAATAACAGGGATTTGCTTCTTAAACAGTAAAACCCTTGTCCTATTTAGGTAAGCTATAGGTTTCAAGAATTCTTTTCCCTTTGTTCTTTTGTTTGCTCCAACTCCTCCGGTACACTGCAAGTCTGTAATTCAGTCAGGATATTTTCATAATTTTAATACTTCTTTTCTACCTTTTATCTAATTTCTTTGTTTATGGTTCATTGCCTAAAATTCTTGGATGTGACATGCAAGTTATCAGTTGTTCTATACTGCTGATGCTGATGTTGAAAAACCTCAAAGTTATTCTTAGGAGACATACTGTAGCATTATATTCCTTCAAGAATAATGACGGTAAGCTAAATTACATACCTGGAAGGGAAATATAAATGTAGGAAATAGAGAGATGGAAAGTTCCTCATTATCACTCCATCATAGTGCTGAGGTAAAATGAGAGTCATTGCAAAATTCAAGATTAAATAAAGCTCCTGGATATACTAAAGAATTCTATTATATACAAGTCAGCAATACAGAAATATTAATATAGATATATACTCAGAAGTAAAGACTGTAAAGAGATGTCTGTGAAAGATAATAAATTTTCAAAGAAAACCCAACAAAAACATTAGCTCAGGCTTTTAACCTGCAATATGTTTCCTTGATCCCCAACAAAGGCATATTAATTCCTTCCTGTTGAATTAGATTTGCTGCAGTGCAGTGCCTTGATGAGTTAGGCATGAATGAGTGTCTTTTTTCTGAACTACTGAACATCTTTAAAAAAAATTGTAATTTACAATTTCTTTTCCCATTTTCTGTCACTGTCATTGTAAGGGAATACCAAGAAACCTTTAAATGACTATACAAAATGTGTATTAAAGCAGCAGAGCTTTTGTGTCAGAAAGAGAACAATGTTACTACCACTCTTTCAAAAATTATTCTGGTTCTTCTATTGCATATCCAGATAGTAACGTCATAAAACTGAGGCATGTTAAAGCAATGAAGCAAAAAGCATGTGAATACAGAGCTAAGCAAACAGCTGAACTCTCTTTTCCCGTGTGCCGTAGGTGTTCTACTTATACAAAGCACTCCCTGCCTCAGTATTTCTATCTGTAAATAACAACATCAATACTTTCCTTGCAGGATGTTAGAAGGTGTAGATTGTTAATATTTACAATGCATTTTCAAATTTTTGTGTGGAAAAGGTGAAAAAAATGCAAATAATAGTAAGCAGAGTAAGGATATTATAGTTACTCTATCACTGATTATAGAAGTCTTATTTTCATATTCTTTTTAGAGATTTTCATTATTACTTGCTATTTTTCTCCTCTCTACCCTTCTTTTTCTCCCACCCCCATTTTGTACTCCATATTTTGAATTTCAATGTCTGTTGCTATGGCAACACCACAATCTGACGAGTGATGCCTTCAGACCCTTTTCAAATCTGTGCTGTGCTATTTAAAACTACATTTTGTGTTTAAGGGACCTGGAGGTCTCCTTAGAGTAACCTGACAGGATTTTCC